TTGCTGTAATATTGACAGTAGAAATCCTTGTATCCTTTCTTAATTTTTATTTATTTGTACTGTTTTCCAATTTTAAAATAATTTATATAATTAGAAATGTTAAAATTATTTGTGAATTAAAAAATAATAATAGTTTGATTTGAAATTCTGTGAATGATATGACATCTAGTATTCTTAAAGTAAATAATAAGATGTGTTTAAATCAGGGCTTCTTAAACTGTGGGTCGCAACCCAATTTAGGGTCACTTAGCGAAATCTTGGGGTTGCGAGATTATAATGCAAAATTTTGAAAATAATTTGTGAGAATTTGAAAATGGCATGCTTTGTGTCATAGGTTTCGTGAGTTGCACTTTGTGTCACTTCTGGTGCAGCGAGACAATGATTCAGCAACACTGATTATAGTGTGAACTAGTGTAGTGTTGTCGCTTTTCAGTGTATTCAGTTGTCTCTGTTCCATTGTAACACAAGAGTGAACTGTGGTAGTACACCATTATTGTTTTTGCAAATTTGTATATATCTTTATTTTATACTTTCTTTTGGGTCACAAAAAAATCGCAATCATAAATGGGGTTGTGAATAAAAAAGTTTAAGAAGCCCTGGTTTAAATAATAAAATCTGATAATTATTATGGAAGAGTCATGCTGTACCAATTACCTTAATATTTTTGGCTGTAAACTAATATCCTGTTAACAGTGTATCGGATGTCGTGTACATTTATTTCAGCATGGGGCATAGTTGGTATGTTGTACAAGTTTTTGTTCTCTTCCTTGATCCAGCCTGCATCAGTATTGTGTGTGACAGCACTGGGTCAAAGAGAAGACCAATAAGTTGTGAGTTCTTGTTTGTGGTCCACTGTGCTGTGTATCAGTGTTTGTTTTAGTACTAATTTGTCTATAAAAGAGTTTTTCATTTTTTGTAAATAATTTATTTTTTTGTTTTCGTAACGAATATGTTTCATATCATTTGAGTCTGATACACTAAAACAAAAACTTGCAGCCAAAGCACATTGTATTCTGTAATGTATGTGCTGTGATGTTAATGTTTTGTGTGTGTTTTGATTTTCTTGAAAATGTTTTTGAGTTGTTTCTTTAAAAATAACATAACATCAAATTAATGTATTGTGTCAGCTTCCTAATTGCTGTCTAATGTCATTTATTTGTGTTTCTATTCTCTGCCAGGCAGGCTTGTGATAGAATTGTGTTTTGTGTGTATCTGTCTGCGATTGTATTTTCAGTCCATGGTGTGTCACTACTGTGACTGCCCCAGCATAAACTAATGTATGAATGTCTGAGAGTGTAGAAATTAAATGAATGTATAGCTACAACCAACAGACTGCCGAAAATCTATCGGGCTAGTTTTATGCTAATTATTAAATAAATTACGTAATCAATTTGGTAATAACCGTCGATGGTTAAGTAGTTAGATTATATACGCTGGAAGAGGAGATCGGATCGGAGGTCTGGGTAGCGTAACTGGCAACGCATCTGCACGGTAAGCAGTTGTGGGTTCGAGTCCCGCTCCGGGCCGATTTTTTCTCCCAGCGGTTCCAAATTATTTAAATTAATTAAAATTATTTATAATTATTAATATTAATAAGAGATGGCGCCTAACGCTTACCTCTAGTACCAAATTGATTACGTAATTTATTTAATAATTAGCATAAAACTAGCCCGATAGATTTTCGGCAGTCTGTTGGTTGTAGCTATATTATATATCGGGTTGGAGATGTTTGTATATATATTAAATGAATGTAGTTTGGTAGTAAGTGAGTGTTTACATAATTTAGTGTTTTTCCTACTACCTTTGACATGTTGATTTTTGGTATTTGTGGTCTTTGTGTGGGATCTGTACCTGTATATTTAGTGAGTGTTTCCTGAAATATAAGTGAAAGCATATTAACTAAATCTATGTCCATGTTATCAGTGATGGATGAAGAAGTGTCTTTAATATCATTAGTGGTAGTTGTTGTGTGTGCACTTATTGCTGGATTATCCTGACAGGATACGTGATCTTCATTAATGTTAAATGTTTCTTCTGTTGATGTATTTGATCAGTAACCTGTTATTTGATAAGTTCAAGTGTTGTTATATATACAGTCGACCCTCCTATAACACTGTTGATAATTCCATTTTATATGAATTCCATGTTGTACGAGTCACTTAGATTTTACAAATATGTGAGCTGTTCACAGCCTGGTACACGTATTTGTAAAATCTAAGTGACTCGTACAACATGGAATTCATATAAAACGGAATTATAACAGTGTTATAGAGGGGTTGGCTGTAATTGTTCTTTTCTGATCAACAACCCTTTGTTTGGTGACAGTGAGGTGAGAATATTATTGTGTGAATCTATGGTTTAGTTGTTATCTGTATGCTACGATGGTGTAGTAAGTATGGATGATAAACTTGTTCATTTCTATGTCCATTTCATCTGTTGGTGTAACCACATCAACTTTTCCAACCTTTGTGGTATGTGGATGCATTGCCACAGAAACACAAGGCTAAGTTGGTTCTTCACATCTATTGAGGGCATTACAATAGCCATGCGTGGGCCAGTGCTGCTTTCACTACCAGTAGCCAAGGGAGACTGTGGCCTATTTTTCGAATGCAAGCCTCTGCCTAACCAACAAACGTGGACCTTGTTAACCCAGGCAACATCTGAGTCAGTATCACACTTAGACCTGGTTACTACCATGGTAAATATCTCCAAATAATGTGGGTATAGTCACTCTTAGCTTCATTTCTCCCTGTAGACCTTACTGGCATGGGTGTCCCTATCAGGAGCTTGCACTCCAGCCTGCATTACTCTATGGTTCAGTAAAATTACTGGGTTCTCCCACCATGATCAGGTGCTGACCACGAGAAAGTTATTATTATTATTATTATTGCTATTATTTATATTATACTTTTCCAAAAGTTTGATTATGGTTTTGAGACATATTTAAAGAATGAAATATACAGGGTGATTATAATTAAAGTTCCTCTTTGAAATGGCCATGAAATGAAAACTACTGGACAGAATGTTATCAAACTTGGTAATAGTATACAGGACGTCATGGGATTTTATTTCCTGCAAAAAAAAAAAGTTCAAAAACTCACCACCAACGGGAAATGGCACTGTCTACAATATTTTTTAAACAAAATAAGACATGAAGACATTGTTGAAAACGGTTTTAATCAGTTTTAAAACGTGTTACAGAGCATGTTCAATGTGGCGTCCACCATTTTTGATAAGCAAGTTACATTGCATTAGTTCTCAACAGTAGCTCTTAGCATATATTTGTTCTTACAGCATAATATTTGCTGGATATGTGAAAAGATTTCTCAGTACATAAAATACATGTGATTTAAAAGTCAGTTAATAATTGAAAAATGAAATTTTAGTGAATTTTTGACATGTGGTAATGCAATTAGCATGAAAATGCATAGAATCACATGGTGTTTTTCCAGAAAAGTGTCAATATTAGTTCCAATTATGTCCAACAGGTGGTATTTTGATCCATAACACCATAAAGAACAGCATCATAGCAAATGTCAGTGAGGTGGACTTTGTTGTCAAACCTTGCCTGAAGATGAGTTCAACGTTATGGTCAGTACAAAACAGCATTTTTTGCTTCCCATCATATAGTTTTCTTTTAACATTACAGATATTCTCCAACATCATTGGCAAACGTGTAACTTCAGGTAACCCCATAACAAAAAATCTTAGGGCATCAAGTTTGGAAACCTAGGTGGCCATTCAGTCTGAAAGTGACAATTTATACAATCATTGTTGGAGAGAATCAGTGATAAGCAGTTTCACAGGAAAAACAACATAGAATGGTGCCCCATCCTGTATTAATGTCACAACATTCAATGCTTGCCTTTCCTCCAGGTTAGCATAACACTAACTTGTGATGATGAGTTTCAAAAGCAGACACCTGTATGATGTCATTCGTGATAAAGTACCAACTGATGGAAGTAACTGAAAGTAATTGTGACACTTTTCTGGAAAAACCCTGTGTGATTCTGTGCATTTTTATGTGCTAAAAATTCACTGAAATATCAATTTTTTAAATGTTTACTAACTTTTGAATCACTCTGTATAATGATATATACTGCTACTTGTATTGGCTCATTAATCATTAATCAACAGTCATTTATATTCTAATTAATTATTTTTATTGTTATATTATTTTTATTATTATAATTACAGCTTAAACTGTCTCTGATGAAAATATTCTGTATAATGAATTATAAATTTTGTTCTATTAAAATAAAAATTAGTTTTGATTGACAGAATTTCAAATTAATGATAATTATTAATTTGTAAATGATTATTTTTAAATTTATTCATTCAAAATATTTTTAACAACAGAAAGCAATTTATTGCACTATAACAAAATTTACCTTGCAAAGTTCAATTAAGAATCTGCTATATATTTATTAAAGAACAGTTTCCTTTTAAGTTTGTTAGTGCAGTAATATATTCTTGTTACAGTATTTTGGATTTTTGTTCAATTATTAACTAACTAAAACAATTTTAATTTTGTTTATAAAAAGTTTTCTTTAATGTTTATCCAGTCATTTTGCAATGGTGCATTTTTTGTTTAAGAAACTTGCTTCATAGAAATTCAGAAAATCAGTGTTTATTAGCACAAATGACTGCTACTGGACAGCTTGAAGATTCTACATTATTAAAAGAATTGGAACTTAAAATTGAATATCAAAATGGAAAACCTTTTCTAATACCTCTAGATCAACATAATTATTTGGGACTGTAAAGTATTACTATATAATAATTGTTTTGTACTGTAAATTTAAATTATTTTGAATAAAATTTGATATTGACTATATTTTAATCCACTTATAATAGGTGAATAATATAAATTGTTTAGAGCTAGTAAATGAAAATAAATAGAATAGAATGAAGATTCCTGTATTAAAAAAAATTTAATTTAATACTAGATATTTTTGGAAATTGTTTAGAACCTATAGGATCTAAATTTTTCCAGGAACTGACTATAGTTTTGTGAAAGAAAAGAACAAAGTATTAAAAAGAAGTTTTTCAAGCATAAATGGCAGTAATATAAAAAAAATCAAGAGATACTTATAATGCCTTAAGTGCCATGTGTTCCAACTATGCAGAACACCCAGGCCATGTGTTGCAGAAATGCAACACTTGCTATACATTGAAATCTGTGCTGTGTTATTTTGGAGCAACATGCTAGTCATACAAACTTAATGGAAATAGTGAGAGCATGGCCTGTGGGATTGGAAATTTCACTTGGTGCAGTAAATTTTTTTTATAAAATTAAATTTCTGTTAGTATTCTATTTTCCCTTATAAAATATAAGCAAAATTTGTCTTTTCTAATATTTTTCTTGCACAATAAATGTGAATAAGTACAATATCATGAAAATACATAACACAAAAACAAATATTCAAGAAGCAATTTTTTTTTCAGTAAACATATTTAATAATTATATAACTACTGTATTTCTCTTTGTCCATTTATGCAACCTTGAATACAGTAGAAGTTCTGTTGAATTCAAAACCTGATTAGTGTAAAAGATGTCATAATGAAAAAAAAATCATTTGGGTCACATGTTACAATTCCACAACACATCTAAAACTGTACAAAAATTCACTACCTTTAGAGCTGACAGATAAATTCAAATTTAAAATTTTTGCATAGAATCGACCAATAGGATGCGTCCAAATTTGTGTCAGCTCGCCTGCATTTGACATATTAGAACATCATAATGTTTAAAATTTTTTTCATCTGAAGCAGGTATTAGAATTAGACCAAAAATGTTTGCTTTTTGGAAAAATCAGCTGGATGAAATAAAGGTAATGAATTTTTTATACAATATAGTATAGCCCAGTTTCTTGAAAAAGTTTTATTTTACACCTAAAACTTAAAATAATTTTATTTACAAATTTTGGACGTACAATAAATTGATAGGAAGGGCTCGATGTAACTGACTAAAAGTAAATTTTACAGAAGAATTTTTTAATTATTTTCTCTTACACATTAGCTATGAAATAAATTTGTTGTGTATAATATATTTTTGGATATTTTACCTAATAAAAATACTTTTGCTATTATTTTTAAAGTGTAAAGACATGTTTTGGAAGTTACGATACTTTCACTATCATTACTACAGATCTTGTCCAGAAAGACTATAGTGACATATGCTTGCATTTACGATAAAATTTAACTTGTGTTAAATCAGCTGACTCTGTACATAAAGACTGCGGATGACAAGAATCTTCAGAATCTACATAACTGGAACTACAAAGAAAGGCATCTGTTCGAGTTGGAAAAGAGTCAGTTAATCTCCAGGATGTACTTGGCTATAAATAATCTTCATTGGATGTTGCTTATATTGGTTGAGGTGAGCTTATGTTGAATTGCTGAAGATTGAAAATTGAAAGCCTGGCTCTGAAACAGAAGTTGCATGATTAGGATCCTCTGTTTTATTTTCACATACAATGATTCAATTATCAAGATCCATCAAAGTATACAAAGTGTCATTTGAATCACTTTTGCTGTATACAACAAGCCTGATAAGTAATTTGACTTGGAACAGCTCTTGGTAAATCCATGTTTAATGGAAGATCTTTGCTAATAACTTAGTGTTTTTAAATTTAATGATAAATGATATGATTTACAGTAAGTGATCTAATTATCAAAAAACTCGATTTTGAAAACAAAAAGTTACTTATCTGTTGGAATTCAAAACTGAAATAAAAAATATTTGTCAAGTGACACTGTGCATAAATGATGTTCTCAAGAAATTATGATAAATTTACCTGTTTTTTTGTATCTCATACAATATGGAGTAGGTAAAACAAAACTTATGATAAAAAAATTAGGAAGAAGATAATTTTAAAAGTCCATCACAGTGCACAATTTTGTGACATGATTTGAAGTGCATAATAACTCATTTGAGATAATTTCAGCAAAATTGTTGGGTTTAAGTTTTTTATGATAAATTGGTGGAAAGGGCTCAAATATATGTTGATGTTATGCAAAAACTATTTATATATTAATATACAAACAAAATAAATAATTCTTTTATTTTAGCAGATAACATCAAAAGTATTTCTATAGCAGCAATTCAAATATGTTACTCAAAGTAAAAATACAACAATCTCAAATATTTTCAAATTTCTTGGTACAGCTTCAAGAGAAGAAAAAAAAAATTATTTTTAAATTTATTCATTCAAAATATTTTTAACAACAGAAAGCAATTTATTGCACTATAACAAAATTTACCTTGCAAAGTTCAATTAAGAATCTGCNTAAATTGGTGGAAAGGGCTCAAATATATGTTGATGTTATGCAAAAACTATTTATATATTTAGAATTTTTGGACATTTTAAAGTTGTATCATTTGAATACTCTTATAATGAAGACTAATGTAAATTTGAGGGGCACGAATGATCTTAATGTAGCATTGACTATCCATTGTAAACTTAATTCTTTAGGGTTTCTTACAATGCTACTACTACATAACATATGAGACAGCCACTGCCCCAGTACAGTCATCTGCTCATTCATCTCAATCCTCCTTTTTCACCCTTTTAGAATTATGGTGGTTTAGAAGAAGTTGTTATGGCTCTTTGATCACTCAACTTTAAGCAATCCTAACCCATACTTAGGATTATGCCAATGCAGTGTGCTTACCATCTTTCCAATAAATAATCATTTAATGCCCTTCTGCAATTATTTCAATGGAATATATGTGGAATCTATTTGAAATAGATCTTGTCAAGCATTCCTTGGTACACAAAAACATAATACAACAAACTTTGTTCAGCTTAGGTAAGAACTATGATTGAATGGTACTTTTTCACTTTGTAATGTATATAAATAAATAACAATTAGTGCAAGTACAGTTATATTTTATTACAAAGAATGCAATTCATTTCTTTTATGTAGTTAATATAATTTTATTACAGATAAATCAATCTCCATACAAACTTGTCAATCTTATAAAATTTTATAAGTTAAAATAACAAACTTTCTCAGGTTGGTATCTAAAAAGTAATCTTCTAATGCCCAAGTATTTTCAATCTGGTCAGGTTCATCTTCAGCAAAAAATATGGATTTGGGAGAAAAGTCAGGATTCAGAGATGATTAAAATCAGGGGTGAGGATGCATTGCCAACAGCTTGGAAATGAGCAGTCAAGGAAAAAAGAAAAGGAAAAAACAAAAATATAATAGTTAAAAGAGAGCATTCAAGAGAGGGCACTATATAAAATATGTCTGCTTAATAGTTTAAAATACTTTAAGAAAACAAAAAAAAAATATAGAACAAAAAGTTTGAATATGCCTACAAATTCAAATTTCTAAGGCATTTATTCAGAATCAAGTAATTATGGTTAGGGTGATGATCCTTATCGGCTCAAAAGTACTTGGACATAGAAGAAAGGATTTCTCAGGTTTGTCTCTGAAAAGTATATTATTTTAACTGATAAAAATACTTTTAATAAATATTTATAGAATTACAAATACTGGGAGATAACATTTTGAATTTCAAGCATTTTCGTTAAAAATAATTAAACTTCAAGTTTCTTTAATTTATTTTCATAATTAGAAGCCAATTCAGAATGTGACTGAAAATAAAACATTTATCAATAACTATATGTATAAATTTTGAAAAATCACAAAATTTATATAAAATAATTACTTCTCCTATTAATTGACTTTTTAAATAAATTAATTTATGAAAAATAAAACTTCAAAGGAAAACTGATCTATTATAACATCTAATTTAGTCATTATATAATTAATGCATTTTACTTAATCAGAAATTAGATAAAAAATTTCTTATGGTGATAATTAATTTAAAGAATATTGATATAGTAACATGATCATAAATATAATCTTTAAATTAAAAACAAATTCTTCAAAGAAATAAAAATAAGTTTAAAATTTTTAAATTTACTTTCTTCATTACAAGCTTGGCTAAACTCGTGAATAAAAATCCTTTTGGTTGATGGTAAAAACAGGCAATACTCGAATATAAATGCTCATTTCAATGAAAGTAAATTCTTTAATTTAGGAATGATGATAATTAGTGGGTTTTTTCAGCAGAAAATTGTGTTGAAACAGTAGAGGCTAAACTAATGTAATTTGACATCACAATTGGAAAGCACATAGTTGCATGTGTTACTGATGGTGCTAGTATGATGGTTAAGTTTGGAAAAATAACAAGTTGTGAGTATCACATATGCTATGTACAGTATTGTACATGCCATACACCTTGCCATACACCTGACCGTGTATGATGTTCTTTATAAGAAAAAAGTGAATTTAGGTGAAAGAACTACTGAGATAGAAAATATATCACATGAAGGAGAAGGAGAAAAGAGTTAATTGAAGATTTAATTAATTAAACAAAGGATTGGATTTAGAATTTTAAGATTGTACAGCATCAGATGCTATGTTTCAAATTGCATATGCAGAAGAAAATTCTATGACTAATATAAATAAGCTCTAAAAAAGATAAGAGGTATTGTCAAATTATTCAGAAAGTCAAATCTCAAAAATGATATTTTTGACAAACTTTTTTTACATTATTTTACAAAATTATGTTAAAGTAGAGTTTGGTTGTGAAAAATGGTTATTTTAGATGTGAAAACACACTGAAACAGTTTGTTGGCAATGCTTGAAAATTTTTTGAGATAAAATCAGCAATTTCAAAAGCATTAATTGATATTAAGGAACAACAAACATTGGCTAATGTAGAATTTGAAACTCTGACTGCAGTCGTAGCAGGCCTGAAGGCAGTAAAAATTGGCTTAGAAAAACTATGCAGTTGAAATGCGACTTTGCCTTCATCATTGGGGAGTTGAATCAACAAAACTCAGGATTTACTAAGAATATGAAATATTCTTTGGTTCAAAGAATTAATGAGAGACGAAATGTTAATTTAGTTGGATTAATGCAATATCTAAATTTAGGGAGAAAGTATGATGATACTGCTGCAGTTACTGCTGATCTTTCAGCTTTACCAAAACTCTTTGATCCAACTAGCTAAAATAACTTTCACAAGGCTTTTTTCCAAAGAAGAAGAATCACTGTCTAACTGTTCACACTCAGAAGAAAGCAGCATAGGAAATTTGGAAGAGAAACCAATGACATTGAATGAAAAATTAGAAAAAGTGATCTGCTTAAAGACAAAGGTCCTACACATTGTTCAACTAGCCTGAGTTCTAGCTTGAGCAAGATTGTGAAGCAAGAATTGCAGTTATTTGACTCAACAGGAAATCAATCATCAAGTACAGGTAACCCCCGTATAACACGGCACTTCTATAGCACGGATTCGCTCTAACATGGTTCGAGAATTGGTACCATCCCTTGTATAACACGGTACTTTTATAGCACGGATTCACTCTGACACGGTTCGAGAATTGGGTAAAACCCTCGTACAACAGGAAATGTAATAAATTTTTACATACTTAAGTAATAATAGTTCACGAAAATTATTATTTTCGTGAACTATTAGTACTTAAGTATGTAAATTTTCTCTTCTCGCCTTCTGTCGATACAGGTGGTCCTTCTCGAAACTTGTTTCAATGTTGCCAGATCGCGATGCTTCTGCTTCTGATGTTGCTGAATATTTTTCCCTTATTCCATACTTGCTTTATTCTTCATAAGTGCTTAGCACCATATAAGGAAATTTATAAAGACCTTTTAACTAGAAACAAGCAATCTAAAATTACATACATTTTGCAAAAGGTAAAGCATGGATCTGAAGATAATGCAGAAAAATGCTCAGAGGATAAGGATAACTTGCCAAAAAGAAAACGCTCTCGGTTAATTAATAGTGTTTTTAGTGATGACGAAGAAAACATTGTTTAATTTATATTAATATGTATCATTTAAAAAACTTTTAATGAAGATATTTATCTTAATTATGAAAATATACTAGCTGTTTTTTAATTTTTGGAACCTAACCCTCCTTTTCGTATTAGTTCTTTGTTTTGTATAACACGGATTCGCATAAGATGGCAATTTTTTGGAACGTAACTACCATGTTATACGGGGGTTACCTGTATTATAAAACTGGACCAGACTTTAAAAACAATTCCCCCAACATCAGTTGAAGCAGAGAGAACATTTTCTGCTGCCGGTTTGTTTATAACAAAGCTAAGAACTAGGCTGAGCGATAGGAGCATTGATTGCTTACGTTTCCTCAAATCATACTTTAAGAATGAGTGATGAATATTTCATTTGTATTTTGTAATTCAAATTGTAAATTAGTCATATGTAAAGAAGTATAAATTTTAAAATTTATTAATGTCCTTATTCTGTATTTGTTATTGATATTAATTATAAATAACTACTTTTTTTAGATTTTACTAAATTTAATGCATTCTTGGGAATGGCTTTTATGTCCCCAAAAATGAAAAAAGGGCAAGAAATCGCAAACCCTACCTGATATTTGGCATAACCCAGTCGACACACCCCTTTTTAAGGAAGAGGCATCATTCAGGATATGAACCGTATTTGTGGGTGGTGGTGACAGACATCAGGCAAGAACTCTTGTTTACAATCAAAACCAGTTTACCAGAATACAACAAGACAGCTCCTTTTTCTAAAACAGTTTGATAGGATACAAGTCTGGATAATGTTGATGACAGTCCTGAGTAATTCTTCTTCCATTGGCAGACTTGATATTGCATAGATAAAGTTATCCATGAGAATGCATTAGTTTTGAGCCCAAACTTATCATCTTACATTATTGTCTTGATAACATAGTATTGATACTATTGGAGAAATTGTTTTGATAAAAGGTTTTCTATGGGAATACTGTCTTGGTGAGAAAAAGGTATTCATGCCCTTGCATTTCAGACTTTCTAAAGAGTTCATATCCCTGATTGTGCATTCTGATTGGTCACTTGCTTGTTGCCAGGGCTGTTCAGAAATGGGCAGAAATTATGGACAGTTATGAGCAGAGTTATGGGGAGAAATTGCAAAAATTCAATAAATAGACGACACCAGTTGGAGATATTTATTGAATTTTTGCAATTTCTGCCCATAACTCAGACTTAAGAAGCATTTTTATACTGTCATAAATATCACCACCTGAATTTACATGACAAGTTGTAAAAATTAACATCCATATGATGTTTTTATGACTGTCAGAGTGAGAGGTCAAATTCTCCATTTGGCGCACACACACACTTCTATACAAAACATTTTTAAAATGATTTTTAGTGAAAGATTTGGACCCAATCCAGAGCGTTGCATATTGGTCCTCCTCTGACCATGATGATGACTGCCACATGAACTGGCATGGACTTGGCTCACTACATTTTTAGAAGCTTGTCATATTTCCTCCAAAGCCATCCACAATTCACTCAGGTTCACTGATGATGGGTCACAGTCTTGAACACTGTTCTCTATGGTATCCTAAAGATTTTTTGATAGGATTTAAATCAGGCTTCTAGTGTCTATCACTGGGATCTATGTTATTGACAGTTATCTTGCTGACTCCACTTCCATTGGGATGTAGGACAGACCTAAATGGATGTAAGTGGTCATCCAGGAAGTCAGCGTGCTGGGATGCATTGAGAGTTGTTAGTTCAAAGATACCTTCCAGACAATCACTCGGCCACCACCATTTTATTCAAACTGACAGAGAATTCATGGCTTTGTGAGGTTTGTGTTACATCTGCAGTTTCTCATTTACATGATAAAGTTTGAATTGGAATTCATCAATACAGGTTACCCACTGCCAATCATCAATACTCCAGTTTTGATGTTCTTTAGCCCAAGCAAGGCATGAAGCATTAGCTGCAGCATCTAGTATGCAGCAAAATAATGTCAATTTGACAACCATTACACACTAAACACAAGAACTTAAATCTAGCTTGATGTAATACAGTTAGCAGTGGCACTCTTGTTGGTCTCCAACTCCAAAAGCATATACAACAACATGTATGTTGCACAGTCTATGCACTGATTGTCTGGCTGGACTCACATTCAGATGGAAAATGAGATAATTTCTGGTCCTAAACATTCCATATAATGCAGGTAAGCTGCCAAAGCCCAAGATTATTCAAGGTTGATTGCCCTTTAACAGCAAAAAAAACAAGCAACTGGACAAAATGCATTTTCATATTTCTGGAACACTGTTGTACGAGAAAATCCTTCTTGGCTTACTCAATATTTAAAATTATCATTCATTGGGCATCTGCTATCTGACTACAATCACATATGTGTAAATTATGTTTTCCTTTATTACACTCCTCAGGGCAAATGTTTGGGGAAGGCAAAGCTATCAGCTGTTTATCACCACAAAATTGACAGGCATGCATGCAAATGCAGGAGCAGAAGTACAAAATTTCCATAATATCTCCTATCCCTAACTTAATTGCACTTTAGTGTAATTGACTTCATTGAATAAAATTCAATGTAATATATAAATATATCAGTTTTAGTACTCATTTTCTAGACTAGAGCATAGAAATTATTTTGTTTTTGTATAACATCATTTTAATTTATTTCTAACAAAACAAAGAAATCACTTGTATTTATAATGTGTCAAATCAGATATGCTAATAATCAGTCATAAATATATTAAATAAATAAAATTACACTGAACTTTGCTACTTGATATCATTTCTTTATTGAAAAAAGATATTTATTGATTATTATTGTGATAATTGAACTGCAATTTGAAAAAATTGTAGACCTATAAATTCTCACTGTCGTTCATCTTTCCTTAATCTCAAGAACGGAATTAGATAGATGAAAGATGATACCAGATATGGAAACCTTAGGGGCAGGAGGCCTCAATTAACTACGGAATGAAAACCGGAAATCACATTATTTCAATTCAAAAATTTCCCCCTGTAAAGTGTTAGTTGACCAGCATGACACTACTGTTAAAGGAAAGGTATGATGTACAAAGGCAACCACTATTAATTTGAGGTGGAGAGCACATATTTTAAATTAAATACATTAAAAATATGATTAAAAATTATAGCACAGCATTAAATAATTGTTCATTCAATATCTTTTTAAATTTTTAAACAGGATATTTATTGAATTTCTAAAGTAACAACTATTGTCATAACTACAACTATAAGAATCATCAATCATTAACAATAAACTATAACTTACTACTAAATTATTAAATTTTAAAAATGAATAATGTAAAGACTATTTACCTTGCACAATTTTAGAATTTCTTGTTCTAAATCTATGATTAAACTGTCTTTTTCTTTCAATACTAACTTCATTGTTCATGCAAAAAAATTTTTTCATTAGTAACAAAAAGCAATGTGAATACATAATTAAATGAATTGCAATCAAAATGTTAAAAAAATAAAAGATAAAAATAGATATAGTCTCAAATAACCAAGACCCATTTAACCAAGGGTTCTTTCTGTATTTTACAATTGTGGAAGAATAATTTGTCAATACAAAGACAAGATCATGAAATGAACTATACTATTATGTTCATGGTTGGATGATGTGTGATATTGAACAGGACTCTAGAAGTTAAAAGAATTTACTGTGGCAATTTGTCATGACATAAAAATTTTAAACCTATGATTACAATTGACATTTCCTTATGCTTGATTTTATAGATATGATTGTTCTATTATTTAATTTAAATTTTATTTACACTTTTGTCCAATGAGTATGTCCAATGAGTAGGTCTAACCTAAAAACAGGGTACATCATACATGTTAATGCATTTAAATCTAGTTACTTAATAATCATTCCAATTTTTGGTTATTATATTATCTGAAATACCCTTGGTCCACATTATCTTGGATAATTGGGATTCTACTGTAATAAGAAATTGAAAACAAAGTACATAGAATAAAAATGGTAAGAATATTATCCAATTGTAAAAAGGCACATTTATATCAAAATCTATAAATATATAGTAAAATACTTGTGGTATAAAAATAAATTATTAGATCATTGATATAATAAGTCAAAAATTATTATTTTAGTACATTTTTTAAGGAACAATCTAATTTATTCTAATAGTATTAATGAAATAATCTCTAATTTGATCTATTTTATATCATAGAAGAGCTCCTAGCCTTGAGAATCGTTGAAAGTAATATCTCAAAAATTACAATGGAAGAGATAACAGATACTTATCACACTGTACTGGTAACATTAAAACGACACTTCTATCATCAGAATACAACTTTATTACTGGTATGCGTTTCAGTACAAAAGATCCTCATCAGTCATACATAATACAGTAGAGCGTCGTTTATCCAAAAGTCGGTTATCTGAAAGAATTCCAGTCGCCAAATTTAAATTTTCGCCAGTGCTGTGCTGTGGCGCTGCAATCTTTGGCTATGTCTTCGGCTACTCAAATATTTTACGTTTTTGATACTAAATTAACTTCTGAAGTATAATTTTTTATTGTTTTTATATTTTTCAATATATTTATTTTGTTTGTACAAAATAAAGAAATAATTTTTAACGATACAATAGCC